AATCTACATTAATAAACAGTTTTATTGAAAGCATGCCTCATAGAGAATAGACTAATCTAAAGTGTTACAATGGCTGAGAACCTTGCCATTTATCAGGGACCAATAGTAAAAGCGTGACGAGGTAGTACCCAGCTCATATAGTATGTAAGGCACATTTTTTTCGTTTGGCAAAATACATTTGATTTAGAATTCACCGTTTCTCAGACTGTTGAGGATAATTAACTTAAATTAACTTGTTCATAAAAGATTCTCACTTGCTACTGAGCAGCGGCTCGAGGAAGTGGTCATGGGGATTATATTCCTCATCAAGGTTATGCAGCAAAATATATACGTCCCCCACACGACGCCCAGCAAGCTCCGGCCACCCTGTCTTCACCTTCAGGTCCTCCGAGCTCAACATCACCTCCAGGAGCTTCGGTTGCGCGTGACACAACATATGACTTACTGCCGCAACCTCCCGACCTGCAACATGTTAAAGTACAAATGTAGTTAAAGTACATTGTGTGCATAAATACAACGTAGAATTGTTATTAGCTCCTGCATTTGATGGCTAGCGAATTACTGATAGAATGCGAAGAAATTTTAAGGTACCTATTTTAACCGGGACGTCTCGTCTCGTCTCGGTATCGTCCCGGAATTCCAACGGAGGGCTGAAAATTGTCCCGGTTTTTATTGCGAACCGGGACAGAGCCTGTTGTCTCGTCTCGTCTCGTATTAAAAAAAATACCAAACGCAGGAGTCTACTTGCAGCCTGCAGGTTAATTTTCAAGTCAAGTATTATGGTTAATAATATAAACACATGATTAATTATTACTTTTCATTGCAACAACAGGCCCCAAAGGCTGTGTACTACCTGAGCAATTTCCTGACACAAGACGAGGAGTCTAAATTGTGGCAGGGAGTATATGCGGCTCCAAAGCCTAAGTGGACAGTGTTGAGCCACAGACGTCTCCAGAACTGGGGAGGCAAACCACATGAGAAAGGCATGGTGCCTGAACCTATGCCTCAGGTTAGTGATACCCATGCTATTCTAAGCATGCTTATGGAATGCTGTCATATATATATATATACATGGTGTTGATAATTTAATTGCAGGCAATAATTTATTTTTATTTTACTTCTTTCATGTTTTCTGTGCAATAAATGTCCTGTAAACGCATTGAAGGAGAGATGATATCATTTCTTTTACTCAATGTTGTCTCGAGACATGTTAAATGTCTTAAAATGTTTCATTTTCAGCTCACAAAATGGCAAATTTGTTCTTTTACAACAGGTGTGGAAGAACCATTTTGCCCATACTGAGAATTCAAAGTACTTGTATCTCAGTATGGGCTTGTACTTGTATTCATCATCATCTCTTGAAGGACTTGGATTGATTTCTTTGCAGTGTGGGAGATGCCCACTGTTTATTTTTATTTTTTTTTTTAAATTTTAATGTCATTTAGAATTGTATTCTCTAATTTTTTTTTCCATAACTTGTTCCAGTCACCAAGAAAAGTTTGTAATGGTAGAACTAAAAATGTGTGATGACCTTATCATCTCTGGGCAGTGGTTGCAAGAACTCGTCACCACCAGAGTGTCAGGCCTGGGCATCTTTGGGGGCATGGAAGCCAACCATGTCCTGGTGAATGAATACTGCCCTGGCCAAGGCATCATGGTGGGTATAGTTTGCTGCTTAATGACTAACGATATTCATTTTCGTTACTTTTATTTTGGGATAGCTTGAGTTTGCTAGTGAGTATGGTATTGGTTGTCCTGGTGAATGAATACTGCCCTGGCCAAGGCATCATGGTGGGCATAGTTTGCAGCTTAATGACTAACGATATTCATTTTAGTTACTTTTATTTTGGGATAGCTTGAGTTTGCTAGTGAGTATGGTATTGGTTGTCCTGGTGAATGAATACTGCCCTGGCCAAGGCATCATGGTGGGTATAGTTTGCTGCTTAATGACTCACAATATTCATTTTAGTTGCTTTTCTTTTGGGAAAGCTTGAGTTTGCTAGTGAGTACGGTATTGTTTGCAGTGATACTGAATATTAAAGAATAAAAACTTTGAAGCCTTTATTAGCTACAGACAAATATAGTGTGTATGGAATTGGCCATGGTGAAATTGTTTCATAATGCTTAACAATGTGATCTCTGTTTATATTAATCCTTTGATAAAATTATTATCAAAATGATAGATTGAATGAAATTCATGAGATGATGTGCAAGTGTTTTTCCTTTTTAATAATGTGTAAAAAACTTTATGAAGTTACATGTAGAATGAAATTCAAGTTTCCTTATGTCCTTCAACAAATCTGCTAAGTAAAAGCTTGTCTGTTGGCCTGTATGATTGACTGATGAATTTTTATTTCAGACAGCTAATAATTTAATCCATTTTGTTTTCTTTGTTAGAATAATATCCTTAATATAAAACTGCACTGCATTGAGGCAGTTGGAAATCTTGGAATTCTCTTGACATAACTCACTGGTAGTATTCAACTGATTGAGCCATCTGGTCTGTGACTGAACCATCCTGTATGTTCTTGTGCCTCGCTGAAGCATTCAGTGTGCAGTAGTTACTGACTGCATATTCTATCTGCTTACTTGGCGTATAGGACCATTTTGTAAATATATATCAATTTGAATTGTAAATTCAACGATGACTAAGTTCACCCAGGACTGAGTTCACCCATGACTAAGTTCACCCATGAACAAGTTCACCCATGACCAAGTTCACCCATGACCAAGTTCACCCATGACCAAGTTCACCCATGACCAAGTTCACCCATGACCAAGTTCACCCATGATTAAGTTCACTCATGACTAAGTTCACCCATGACCAAGTTCACCCATGACTAAGTTCACCCATGACCAAGTTCACCCATGACTAAGTTCACCCATGACCAAGTTCACCCATGACTAAGAAGCTCCTATTCACTTTTGACTGTCATGTCCTATTGATTGATTCGTTCTCATGTCACAGAGTTTGAAGGACCGCTTCCTTGGGTCCCTACTTCTGGAGCCCCGCAGTCTGCTCATCCTGCAGGAGCGTGCGTACACCTCATGTCTGCACGACATCAGCTCCCACGCGCTACTGGATCTCGTCAACAAAGACCGCGTTTTAAATTGGCGTCAAACTGCGCTCGGTCAACAAGAAAACATTGTCTGGAACATATTTTCTTCTCGAGGGGAAAATTTTGAGGATTTTCTTCAGAAGGGAGAAAAGTCATCAGTTTCCAAAGACATGCCAAGTATTAACGACGTAAATTTGAAGAACCAACTAAACACAAACGAATTGGCAAAGCGTGAAGGATTCCAAAATTTTCATGCTTGTGGTCGTTTACTTCTAGATTTAATGTCGGATGATCTGACAAATCAGGAATTTTTAGAAGAACTGACACGCTTTTGTGAATATGTTTCAAAGAAGACCAGAAAAATTGTGGACAATTCTCACATACCTCCACTTGCGGAGGAAAATACTAATGGAAAAAATGTAACGGATGAGGATGACAATGAATGTAAAACAGCTGTGTTTGAAAATGAATTCGCTTTATGTTCTCGTAATTTGCGACCTAACTCCGACTTTAGAAATGGCAGTATAGAAACAGAAAATAACATCCCCGATAACTCTAATCAGAAATTAGCAAGTTTTATTGAGCAAACATCAGAAAGTTCAACCGTAATTACAACTGAAGATATCCCTGTAAAGCTTCCAAGTTCAGAAAGCACTGCGGACACCGGAGACGCACCCCCTACGGCGTCTGAGGAGGCACTGCCGTCATCTCTGTCTGTGTTGTCGGGGCTTGATGGCTGTGGAACTCAGGAGTTGAATGTTGTAGTTGGTGCCTTGGAAATAAAAGGCAATAAATCTTTTATATTACGCAGAGGCACTAGAGTTTCTCTCACTATTAGGCGAGTGCCTAAAGTTCTTAAAACCAAATTGTTCCTTCAAAAGAAAAATCGTTAGTTTTTGAACACAATATAGGTATTTTTCAGGTAATGCTATTTATACTAATATGAACTTAGTTTTTTAAATGAGACAAATAAAGCGGCTAACCTCTTTTGTCTTCGTGGTTTGAAGCTGCTTCTATGTGATATTTTTATGGATATTGATTTATTATTTGTATAATCTTCATATGTTTAAGATCTTGTCAATGAATCACTTTCACTTGTTTACATTGCCTCTCTCTAAGTAACTAATGTTGCTCAGCACTTCTCATTTAGTTATTCTCATTTTGTGTCGCCTCAGTACAAAAACTCGAAATTTGAACTAATTTATTACTAGAGTTTTAAGTCATGATGAAAGAATTAGGTTGCCTTACATGGCCGCCCATCATGATGGTAAGGTAATGGTTTCCTGAAGCAACGAACGCTACTCTATCCCACGTCCTCAACACTCAGTGAAATAAGCGAAATATTTCCAAACGATGGTGCATTGTTAAGCGCGTTTGTGAGTTATCGTGACCCAGTTTCGACTGGTATAAAGGGGTATCAGGGATGCGTGCTGCAAGTGTGTTACAGTTTGGATAATATGTCCCATGCGTTTTCTAATTCAACTCGTGGCCAGCTGTCACTGTTCAGCAACTCGGAGCTCGCTGATGGCCGTGTGATTATGACTCAACGTTCCTCATCAGTAGCTTGAATAAATTTTGAGTTGTGTGTTTCCTGTTGAATTGCAGAATTGAAGACTATTCACTATACCCGTGATTCCTCATCACTAGCCTGAATAGTTTCTTAGTTGTCTTTCTCCTGTTGAATTATTGAATTGAAGACTATTCACTATACCCGTGATTCTTAATCACTAGCCTGAATAAATAGTTTCTTAGTTGTCTTTTTCCTGTTGAATTGCAGAATTGAAGACTATTCACTATACCCGTGATTCCTAATCACTAGCCTGAATAGTTTCTTAGTTGTCTTTTCCTGTTGAATTGCAGAATTGAAGATCATTCACTATACCCGTGATTCTTTATCACTAGCCTGAATAACTAGTTTCTTAGTTGTCTTTTTCCTGTTGAATTATTGAATTGAAGAGCCTTCACTAAACCCGTATGGTCTAACGGACAGCACTGCAAGTAACAATCTGTTAATAGCCTTTACGTTTAATTATTTTTTGTATATAATTATCTTTATATTGGTCAGGCTTTATTCATCTGTCATGTCTGTAAATGTCTCTGCATCATTCACTTCTTTAATTCAATAAATTGTGCAAGCGCTCGCAGGGACAGGTTTTGAACTGAGTCAGGTCGATGCCTCGGAGCTGACGCTCTCATTATTGTTGATATTTAATGAACAGAGGAATAAACATTCCATTCAGGAGGGTTTTTGATAAGCGTTCTGAGTTTTTTTTTACAGTGCACTGAAGAAACCTGAACCTGCGAAATCGAAAACTGCACCTTCGGCGCGAAATAGACGAAGTTGATCTGAAGCGCTAGAAATCTCGCTCTAACTACTACTACTACTAATACTACTACTACTAATACTACTACTACTACTACTAATACTACTACTACTACTACTACTACTACTACTACTACTATTACTTTACAGTGCACTTCCGTTATCAGTTGTAATTTAATTTATCAAGTATGGAAAGGAAAAAACAAGAAGCTGGATCTCAATATCTTTCTTGGCTTAATCATGCCGGAGCTGTGCTGAGCCTAAGAGCTTCAGTTCAGTTGTCTCTGTCACAACTGGTCCGTCTGGTGGCACGGTATCGCTGATCTGCAGTTCAACTGTTGAATTCCCCCTGCTGAAATACTGCGAAGTTAAATGCTGGTAGTAACAGGTGCAAATAGCATCAGTTGCTGCTTGATTAGAATGGAGGTTGAGATTAGGCAATATATTCGGTACTTACTCCAGATATGTTCATAATCTCCTTAGGAAGAACAGGAGATAACGTGCACTGTTATGTACAATGTCTGAAACACAACGTCAATGTCTGAAACACAACGCCAATGTCTGAAACACAACTTCAATGTCTGAAACACTACTTCAATGTCTGAAGCACAACTCCCGTAGCTTCTATCCTCTCTACAAGTGCAAGAACGTATCTTGCACTGTCCGTAATCTAAACTTTAACGCTTAAGCTATTAGAATAGAATAGAAGTGTCGGCGTTGAAGAAATAGACCCATGGTTTCTACTAGAGTCCATAGTCACATGAATTGGCAATTTTTTAATAGCAGGCCATGTTATTATTCTGCTTTAAAAAGTTGAGTCAGTAAAGTGCACCGCATTATTTAAGAACAATGACAATGTTACACTCAGATATGGAATTTCTGGCCTGGAGTATGACAGTCTAGCGCCCCCAGTATGTTGGCAATTTCTAACTTCGTCTTGCATGGAAATTACAGCTGCTTTAAGCCAAGTATCTGTAAGTTAAGAATGAGATCTCTCCCATCCCAATAACTTTCAGTGTCTCTTCGAGTTGTCGCGTTCACAATTTCGAGTTTACCAAGCAAGTTCCACAATTTTCAATGTTGCACAATCCGGCCATTAAATTTTGTTGCGTTACAAAAGTGGCCCACAAACCATGAACGTGGCCCAGACCGCAATTTGATCATCATTTCTGTTGCATTCCTTGCAGCAGGCAGAAAGAATTGGGCCTCTTTTTCAACTTCTTCATCCAACTGTTGCAAGCAATAAATATCTGAAACTTCACTATCTGAACTCAAGCATTTTTTTATTCAGAACCGACAGGAAGATCAGAATTATTTTGAATCTGGTTTTGGTTGAACTCGAGCCTGCACCATAGTGTCAAATAGCTAATAAAATTGTGATAATCTGATAATACGCATTATTTCTTTTCATACATACACTTTGATAACGGGTGCATTGATTGTTTATTGATTGCCAACGATTAGCTATCATAGCCGACGATTAGCTATCGCATTTTCAATCGATTTTATTCTGCTTGTGCGCATGTGCCTTGATGGCACTGTTAATTTTTCTGCATCCGCGAAGTAATTTTTCTGCAGTAACGTATACAACAGATGCTAAATAAGAACTAAGTTTAGGTACATAACAGCTGTACGTACCTCCCCCCAGAGGGTGCCAGGGCGGTGATGGTGTGGACTGCGGTCTCCCAAGAGCCCACGTCCACCCCATCCAGGTGCAGCTTGGGCTCAGGCGTAGCAGGCAGCGCATACATGAGGGGTGGAGGGAACATAGACGGGCGCGTGTGTAGAACTGAACAGTTAATGAAATTATACATATAAGAAATTTTCAATCCATTACATAACATTGATGAGCTTTTAAAAACGTTAAGGTTAAAGCTAAGGTTAACTGCACGCTGTCATATACAAGTGCGGGGGCCGGGGAGTTGCGTAGTTGTATTCGTAGCAAATGCAACAATAAGTATTAACAAGCAGGAGATGGTAAGTGAGATAATGTTTAATTGAGATGATCTCTTTGTTACTAAGTACTGATCAAGTAATAAACTGATCATGGAGCGATTGAAAATTTAAAATTGTCAGAGTTAGTATCAAAATTGTTTCTTTTCTTGATGGTTTAAAGACACCAGGAATGTCGGAGTTCCGAAAATGTAGATGGCTGCGATACGGCTCTTGAACATTTTGGTCTTTCTCTACTTTTAATACATGGATACATGGGGATTTACGCAAACCCCACTTGCCCTTAATTGTCACGTCATTGAAATATTTACATGTTTTACTCTAACATTACAGAACTTACATCATGAATAACAATGAATCAAAATCTTTAACATACAATGAAAATGGGTTGAAAGAGAGGATGTAAAATGTCAGTTACATCATATTTAGTTGAATAGAATTTAAAGTCAAACGGTACTAGCTGAATTAGGACAGGACTTGACCTGCATTTTGAGCATAAAAATGAAAGTCAGAATTGAACTATTACTGCCTGCACTTTTCCATGACAAACTTTCATGCCGTTTACTGTGGACAGCTATCCCTGCTGAAATTGGAAAAATTCTTTTGGGCGTTTATCGACGGCATTACCATCTCTGATCACACAGTGATAATATTTGAACATTCACATACACTTATCCTTCATGTACTCACTGAGGTCCTCGTATTTGCCACTCAGGGCGCTGAGGTCCAGAGGGGCAGCCATGTAGATGTCGAGGTACGCGCTCCTGGCGACCGAAGCGAGGGCGGCCACCCCTGCTGGAGTGCCCAGGCAGCCCTCGAACCAAGCGAGTCTCATTCTGAGGCATCACGAAATGAAAGGGATTGACCAGTAATGATGAAAAGGGTACCAGTGATGAAAAGAGATGCCAGTAATGAAATGGGGACCAGTAATGAAAAGAGAAACTAGTGATGAAAAGGGAAACCAGTAATGGAAAGAGATACCATAGATGAAAAGAGAAATCAATAATGAAAAGAGAAATGAGTAATGAAAAAAGATACCAGTAGTGAAAAGAGAAATGAGTAATGAAAAGAGAAAGCAGTAATAAAAAGAGAAATGAGTAATAAAAAAAGAGAACAGTAATGAAAAAAGAAATGAGTAATGAAGTGAGATACCAGTAATGAAAAGAGAAAGCAGTAATAAAAAGAGAAATGTGTAATGAAAAAAATGAGTAATAAAAAAGAGAAACTAGTAAGAAAAAGAGATAACATTAATTAAGAGAGATACCAGTAATGATAAAAATTTATTGATGCATGGAAAAATCAAGTGGAAAGTTTTGGGAATATTCGGCGATGTAAGCTGACAGTAATTTAGTACTGCGCTGTTACTATTAGACGTTACTGTTGAATTATTTGTATTTGCCTGTCGATTTAACTGTCATTAAATGCATGTTCAGTTTTTCCCGCGCACTATGCCACGGAAACTTAAGTAGGCTTTGCTAGTTGTTAACTAATCATACAGAGGGACTTATTTGTACTATATATCGATTGGACATTCAGCCATTGATTATATTATGTGTTCGTACTTTCAGCAATCGTGAAAAGAAGCAAAATCTACATTAATAAACAGTATTATTGAAAGCATGTCTCATAGAGAATAGACTAATCTAAAGTGTTACAATGGCTGAGAACCTTGCCATTTATCAGGGACCAATAGTAAAAGCGTGACGAGGTAGTACCCAGCTCATATAGTATGTAAGGCACATTTTTTTCGTTTGGCAAAATACATTTGATTTAGAATTCACCGTTTCTCAGACTGTTGAGAAAATTAAATTAAAATTAAATTAAATAATTATTAATATAATTATTATTAATATAATTATTAATTAAATTAAATAATAATAATTAATAATTAAAATTATTAAATTAACTTGTTCTTAAAAGATTCTCACTTGCTGCTGAGCAGCGGCTCGAGGAAGTGGTCATGGGGATTATATTCCTCATCAAGATTATGCAGTAAAATATATACGTCCCCCACACGACGCCCAGCAAGCTCCGGCCACCCTGTCTTCACCTTCAGGTCGTCCGAGCTCAACATCACCTCCAGGAGCTTCGGTTGCGCGTGATGCAACATATGACTCACTGCCGCAACCTCCCGACCTGCAACACGTTATAGCGGTTTCAGCGTTAAATAGGCCGTAGGCCTGTCACCGATTCTTAACATCACAGAACATTCACAGCATTTCGCGGTCTCGAACTCGCAACTCACTGCTACAATTCTGCTGTGCTTAACCGCCCGGCCTCCTCGCCGATTCTGACCAGAAACTGTCGCACAGAGCTGGGATCGAACCCGCGCCTCTCTGCGCCAATATCTTGGTACTCTGAACTTTAACCACTGGGCCACCCATAATAATAACAACAGAAAATGTCTCGACTTTGTAACAAGAGTGCTGAACAAAGTCACTTGGAAAGTCATTTCACATATTTTTCTCAAATCATTTTCGCAAAAATCATCTCTTAGGCAATGTCATTTTATGCATTAGTTACAGAATTTCCTTTAAACACAAACAAATCGAAAACCTTTTCAGTTTCAGAATCTATTTGAATTATGCAACACAGTGCCCCAGAGAGCATAAATTTTTCTGCACTGATTCACAGATGATTTGAGTTCTTAACTGTTTCCACGTTCATTCATTGACATTCATTGCAGTATCGTGAGATTTCTAGATTTCCAGAATCAGTTCATGGTGAAATGCCACTACGAAATATGTTAAAATCACGAAACATATTACGATGTGCGAAGACTAGACTGTTCACCTAACCTGTGAGCTTCTTTCTGATCACGCCTCGCAGCTGGATGACTTACAGGAAGCCGTTTGTGTACAAATGTAGTTAAAGTACATTGTGTGCATAAATACAACGTAGAATTGTTATTAGCTCCTGCATTTGATGGCTAGCGAATTACTGATAGAATGCGAACGATATAGTTAGCCGTAGCGTCTGATTGCTCGCGTAGCACAGATGACCTGCGCTCTTTGTTTTTAGCCGAAGCTATTCATGGCCCACGAAGCACTGATGGCCTGCGCACTATATTGTTAGCCGGTGCATTTGATGGCTAGCGAAGCACAGATGAACTATTATGTTTCTAGCCGAAGCTTTTAATGGCTCGCGAAGCACTGAACGTGAGCAACATCTCCAACAGGTATGAACATCACCCACCACTCCTGATGCGCCAGGTATCAGACTCGGACAGGGCTGCGAGCTCTGCCACATCGTCGGCCACGTCGGAACAGCGCACGACGCAGTCCCTCACATCGTCTCCTGTTACGATGCCTGCGTCGCGCAGCGTCTGCTTCAGCTCCGGCCAGTGGCGCAAGAAGAGGCAGTGACTGAGTTTATTCAAGATCTGCACCACGTACAGAAGCACCTCGCGCATGCTGGAGTGAGACGTTCGGGGATGACGGCACGAGACACATTTATAAGTACATCGAATTTTTCCATATTTGTTTATTGAACGAAGCGTAAATTTGTTATTTTAAATTATTAATTATGTGAGATCATAACATAATGAATAATTAATTATCTGAAATTGCCTCTATTTACTTGTTAATTTTGTCTAGTTACAATTGTAGGAATAAAGTAAATAAAACGGGGAATAACGAGTTAATTCATCGAAAGAAGAAATTGGGAATTAAAACAGCGAACGAAGTAGTATCGAAAAATAATCTCACTAAACATTACAAAGTAAACTTACTGGGTTAAACAACCAATGAGTTTAGTAATTTTGTTGAACTAAGGATAATTGAACGCCATCTTAGGTGATTCACTGCAGTTCAAACAACAGAAACAATACTCACGGTTGCAGAGGGTGTCTCTGCTCAGAGTTCTGTTCTGTCCGCTTCAGTGGTGCAAAGCTCGAATCTCGGTCCCCGTTCCTGGAACATAATAAAACTGACAAAAAGAAGCTTCGCCCCAAAGGAATAGCAATAAATATTGAATGTGTGGCGTCACGTGAAACGATTTTCCGTTTATAACGTACCAAAACAGAATTTATGTAAGCGAATTGTTTCAAGTATGTTAGGTATTGCAGCCAACATTACACGAATAAATTGGAAAAATAAGCGCATAAATTGAAAAAATATAACTCAGTACTCACTGCAGTGAGTGACAGAGCGCATTTTCTCGTCGACGAAAACGTGAAGTCACGGACGGACAGACAGACGGACGGACAGACGGACATGGCGAGCTCAATAGTGCATTTTTTCCATAAATGAGAAAATGCGCTAAAAAGAAGTGAACAAATTGGAAAAGAATTATGGTTTTTGAAGGCAGACGAGCTTTCGAACTTGTAATTATAAAAAATGCAACGTGCAAGACTACACATACATTCATTACATATTTTAATACCAATAACTCTTCTGCCTAAAGCTTCTTGCTAGGTTATCGCACTGCTATAACATTAATAATTTCTATTTTATTTCTGCTCACTGCGCTATTTTCTTCGACATGTTTCCGAGGATAGTGTTGATGGAATCTCCGCTGTCTTGTATACGCCTTACGATGCTCTCAGCTGCGAACATTTCCTGGACTGTCTTGTGGGGAAAGGAGTAGCTTACGAACCTTTTACCTGATAACGGCCTGCACATTTTAAGCACTACTGATAGAACAATTTCTGGGTCGATTTTACAGGTCGTATTAGCTCTTTTGAGCACAAGTTTACACTGTCGCTTTAGGTACTGGCAATTTTCTTCAGATAAAGTTACGATGTTGTTATGCAGCAATTCTAATGCTGTGGAACCGATGACAGCAAACAGATCCTCAATCATGTCCTCTGAATCACAGTAGTTTGAATCCAACAATTTTATCTCGACGAGTCTCTTGTATAAGCTGAGAATGTCACGAGCCACGTCCCCTGGTGTTTGCCATGAGGGTATCTTTTCAGGCATGTACTTATACACGTCACAGAAATGCATCAAGTTTATGGGTTCTGTGAACAAACTTCGGACATCTTCTTTCAACGAAGAGAAACTTCTTGCCATTTCTCCAACTTGGCTGAACTCACTCAACGACTCTTCGTACCTTCTCAAAAATGCGAGCTGGTCTTCAAGTTTTGCGAGCGGCATGATCTCGAACTCAGAGAAGCAGCAATTTTTGCTAAGCAAAATTGGCTGTAACTTCTTCAGGCCGTGTGGACGGGTGGTAATCAATACACGACAATTACTTCGCCACGTCTTGGCCAGGATTTCCGCCACTACTTTCAGAGAAATATCGTGAACTTCGTCAAAACCATCGATAATAAATAAGACATCGAGACGTAAGAGGGCCTTGAGAACAATCTTATTACCGAAGTCGCTGCACAGATCTTCAAAGTGTTGCTCGATTACATCACTCAGAGTTTCCGAGTATCTATCCCTGCACTCGAACAGAACGACCTGGCTAATTGGTCTCAAGTAATCAGCATCCCCTTCCTGCAGTTCGAAAAAATGAAGTACAATGTTTTGGACAAGAGTTGTCTTACCGGCACCAGCGACACCAGTTACTACGAGGAATTTTTCAGAAGTTTCAAAAATTTCGGTGTATGGAATGACTTTTCCGCCAGCGCTTGCCCTCACCATCAATTCGAGAGCGTGGAAAACGGCCTGACGCTGCACTTTAACATTGCTCAAAATGAGCACTTCACTTGTAAGCCTAGCCTCCCACAGTAGTCTTACGGCTTGCTTCCCAAACATAGCCAGCCTCGAACAACAGTAAAAAAGGCTAGTTTTATCGATAACCAGCAAATTTGCTATTTCGGAGTTCAGAACTTTTTCTTCAGCCTCAACCTCGGCAGGAAGAAGAGAATAAAACCTTCCGGCTTCTCTTATCAATTCTAACAGGGCTGCCGTCAGGTCAATAAATTTTCGTGGGTCCACCATTGCTTCAAATTTGTGCATAATCTCATTTCGAAGATTTTTGACGACGCGCACCTTGTTGAGCACCTCGGAGAAATCCCTAGTGCCGTTATTCTCACGTAAAACGAGAATGTTTTCAAGTAAACACGAAAGATCGGTGACGTCTAATTTATCAGGATTTCGATCAGTTTCCAAAACTTGCCGAGAGGTTCGACAAGCGTCTTTCCATTCCTTATTACTGAATGAATTTCCACGTAAGCGTTCCATGTATTGTCTGTAGGTCTCACAACTTAGCTTATCAACACATTCTTTAAAAATTAAGAACCGAATGACTTTCGGGCTTAGGTACATATTACCGATGATATTACGATAAATGGATGCTATCTCCAATGGCAGACCAGCTGCGGATGCAGTGGGCGCCGAGATTTCATTCAGATCTAATCTCTCCATCTTGCGTGATCTGTAGAGTGAAAAAATTGAAAATTTACAACAACGCGTCGATCCTAAGATCCAGCCGATCATTTCAACGTATAACAAATTTTAACGATATGCGACCCAGGAAGTAGATGTTAACATGCATTTCAAGAGAATTATTTCAAACAGTGAATTGTAGGCAAGTATTGCGAAAACACAAATGAGGATAGTGTTATTTTGAATGACAAAGTGCACAGGGAATATTATGAGTGGGCAGTGATAGCAGGATTAAATCTTACATATTTGCTTGCAGAATGGCAAACAATCGTGGCTATATAATATTGGCCTCTTGATTAGCGATAATTCAAGTCAAGAAATAGTATAAGCGAGAGTTTGATAAGATTTAGGGTCGACAGGTGGAACTGTTAGGGAATAGTATACATTTATTAATATTTCATAGTAACAATTTTTCCATTTTCATTTAGAGCTTTCCATACTTTAGGTTATGCTAACATCCGGGATTCATTCTTTCATGTTTTAGACTTTAGCTGGTAATGACTACAAGGGCACAACGCAAGTGTACAGATTTGTTTTAATAAATACAGTGTGAATACTCAGTCTTCTATCTTAACTGAACCTTTCACGGCCGTATCGATTTAAAAGTGATTATGAAGTAGTCCCCCAGCATAATTTCTCCCAGCAGAACGACTTAGAGCTCTTGGATCGTTCAGCTGGCACCTGTTAAATTAGTCTCATGTTTTCTTTATATCAAGTCTGATGGCCAACTATTCAAGAGACTGTATTTATAATACCCACAGCCAATATCTTCCAGTAGAAAAAGTGAACCATCAGAGCAGCTTGTCTCCATTCAGTTAGATTTTTCCTCAATTTCATTAAAATAATTTAAAATTGTGTTTGTCGGCAACATATGGTACCATAACATTTCCTGTATGAAAGAGTAACTCGAACCTCAACGGGTTTACGTCATATGCAGATGACTTATTCTCTAGATGGTCCATTTTTTCCGTATTCTCATTCGCAATACAATTAACCAGAAGGAAAATCTTCATTACCTCTGTTATACTATGTTAGATAGTGTTAGATAAGTGCTCCTGATATATCCGTGCCTTAGTTGTTCGCTCTTAAATATTTCTTCAGTTATAAGCGGTTGTAGGTTCAATTTCATCTGTAGTGTATTAAGTATTTGATCTTATATACTCTTAATAAAGGTAACTGGATAATTTTACTTGATTTTATTTTGGATTCATCAAATTTCCATAGTTAAGCCCCGCTATCGTCATCACCTTAATAAACGGAGCTGAAATTTTCCAATAGGGAAACTGATCGCAAACCGATCTCGCTTGCATCAAATTAAATCAGTGTAACGAATCAGTTAGCAATTAAAAACACCTGCACTACTAATAAGTGATCACTAAAGACGAAATAGATGTGCGAAGACTAGACTGTTCACCTAACCTGTGAGCTTCTTTCTGATCACGCCTCGCAGCTGGATGACTTACAGGAAGCCGTTTGTGTGTGTCTGCTGATAACATGTCACCTCAACCCGCAACACATGACGTAACTACGTACGTATAAACAAAACAAAAATTGACCATAAAAGATTATTAGTTTTTGTAAACTTGAGTAACTTTACCTGCCCCTCCAGTATATTTTTATTTATTTGTTACGTCCGGTGTCAATCAAGCGTTTCATTCTATTCATTATATATTATAAGATTAGATCATCTGTAATTGAGACGTTGTATTCATTAGAGATCGTAGAGATCGTTGAGATCGTTGAAAAAGTACTAGACCGGAGTCAGCATGAACAACATCACATGACACATCACGCGATCAAGACCTCAGTAGTGGGCGGAAGCCGTGATTCTATAAAAAGGCTGGGAACCTTAGTAAGGTTCCCAGGAACTGACGTGGACGCAGTTATGCGACTCGCGTTAAAGCTACTCCGTCCCAACGGCCTACGCCTTAGCATTATACCAATAACAAAATACTCATATAAGCACCCAGTATCAAGATAAGTTGAAAAATTCGTGGGCCTCCAGTATTTTAGCGCATCTTTGTTTTTATCCTTATGGTCTTAAGGAACCTTATACACAATCAGTAACTTTTCATTTATCACAACTCTGTAATGATCATCCTCAAGCATAAAATTTAAAAATGTAAGCGATATAAATATTACTTTTGAAGTATACTAAATATTTTTTGTCGCCTTTAGGCTGGTAAGTAATAGTTCCGATTGCAGAAAAACACCGGACATAAAATGTAGAAAAAATGAATGAAAGCGAATATTAAGATTTCACTGCGTAAATGCAAGTTAAAAATGCTAGCTACCATTCAATTCACTATAGCTGCTTCTTCGAGTTTCTTTAATTTGTATGCGCTCAAATTGCACAACCAATGATGTATAATCTTTTTAAATCAGTCATCAACTTGGGAATTATGCATGTTGCATGAAACCTTCCTTTCGCCCACGCACAGGACTTTCATTGCTAACATATATAATTATATAGATATAATTATATTATATTAGATTATATTGCTATAATCGAGGAGTAATTCTAACACTAGGCAACTTTTCGATTAGTGGCGGTTGATGCATGCGTTGCAAAAAAAACGACAAATTACTAAAGAAACACTCGATAAATTTTTTTTTGTTAAACTGAAGTTAGGATTTGTTAACGACACACACGGAGGATGATTTCAAAACAAACATGGTTATTCTCACTGGAGGGACAAGAGTTAATCGTGAATAACTATAAAAATTAAATGGCAAACAAAAATACGGAACTCCTGCATTTTTTATTTACCAGATAAATAAAAGAAAAATTACACATGCATAGTAAAACCTGATTGATAAAATAAATGTCATGGACCTATGCAAGCTCGTACATTTTAGTCAGAAATCTTCATATATGAATGCGCGTCGACATTTACGTGATGGATTATATACTGTATAGCTCGCTCGGCTATAGCTCATCAAGCTCGGCTATTTGCTAATTTTTAGATAAATTTATTACAGGATTTAACCTCCGATGATATATTGAAGCACCCTCGATATATAAATACACCATCGATGAGAGCCAAAGTTAGAAAAGTGTTGGCCATATCGTCGTTGACACGGTGGAAGGGTGGCATGAGCAGAGCAAAACCGTCGATGTCGTAGCGTCTGGCAATCGTCAACAGCGGATTGCAGGTCCTCCAACCAACGAGTTTCATTTGCTTGACCTTTTTTCATCTGAAATGATTAGAATTGGACTCCATTTAGTTGAGAAATTTACACCTGAAACGGCAATACCTTACCCTCTTTGGGTAAGCGTTCAGCACTTAAACGATTAGAATTGGATCCCATGAAAGCGACATGGCAAGAAAACGGCGTCATAAATTAGTAACTTAGGGGACAATTACTTTGTGATGAAAAGAACTGGATGATGTGAAGCAGCCACGACTTTAATAAGGTGAAAATTAATACCGGAATTCATGTAGTACAGCTGTAACAAAACCTGTATGGCATTTACTACGTGAACGTAATTCCGGGTAATTTCCCAAATATCAGTTACTGGACAGCTACATGAGCAAAACGCGACGAAAACCATACACCATACAGATGTAACCGGACTATTGTATCATTTGAAGATGAAAACTCCGCAAAAGACAGCAGAATCGGAAAAACCTATTTGATCAGCTTTATACACTGTCTATCTAGGAACTCAACTCACCAAGCCATGGGCATAGTTTTTTAGTGCATTTTGCTATCTTCTGGTCGCAGGTGCACCAGTTGCAGCCGTCAGGTTTCCACTTACTGCCGTTCTCGCACCACGGTTTGCTGGGCAGCTCTGCAGTCATAGAGGTATTTAAAATTACTCGCTAGTTTGATTAAAATGTTATTAATTTATTGTGTTTTTGACATAGAAGCATTTTAAATTACACGATAGATGGATTAAAATTAATTTTTTTGTGCTTTTTAAATATATAAGGGACTAGATTTGATAGATTTTTAACTGAGGAAGTAAGCTCTGGTTTAGTTGGTATAAATTTAATTGAATGAAAAAATTTCATGGGGAAAAAATGTACGTTTGATTTTTTCTTTTAAATTTATTCATTATTTGAAATTTTTAGGACATTTTTGCGACCGCGTAATCTCTGATCTTGATTTTACCGCTTTGAATTCAGCGATGAAAATCATAAAATCAGCTCTATGCAAATGTACTTTATTGGTAACGACATTTTGTGGGCTTGGAATCAAAAGCCGCGTAAAGTTTCCTACTTAACTTTACCTAGTAAACGCAAGCTCTACGAGATTTTGTTCCATTCATGCAGCTACAACTTCAGCTCAAAGGCAACCGCGAAACAAACAATTCTGTAGTATTGCATTCCAGGATGAATTTTGTGACCCTTTTCCTGAATAAGAGTATTCAAGATACTCTCGTGCTAAACAGCGACAACTCGCGTAAAGTATCCGAATAACAATCAGCATCTGGAACAGTGAACTTGACAATTTCGGTCGTGAGTGCTAATTTACGATCATCGTCGAGCTCACAATTACAGTTACAATGCGTGAGTTGGCAACCCCAGTAGAGAGGAGGTTCGAAGTCTAAGATACGCATCAGAGTTTGAGTTTCAATGAGCTCCATTCCACAGCGAAGACGGGACGGGTGATGCATGAGCGGTCGGATTAATTTTGCCTTGGAAAATCGGTAAATATTTCCTTACATTTCAATCGCTATCTCTAGAAAAAACTTTGAAATGATTTATTCAGGAACGTGATAATGATTAAGCGCGCAGTGTAATACTTATTAATAATTATTATCTTAAGATTGTGAACTGACTGCCTGGGGCACAACGCATGCGCGTGCAGGCAGCGTTTCCGTTGCCACACGTGCAGAGATTGCAGCCGTCATGCCATTTCGATCCTTTTTCGCAGACCACAGAGCCTGAAAATGAATTCGAAAGTTAACTGAAAAATTCAAAATTTAGAAAAGATAAATCTCGTGGTTTGATAATTCGAAGTGAATCTGAAGAATTCGAAATTTAGAACAGATAAATCTCACAGCGCTTGATAATTCGAAATGAATGATATGTAGCAGGCTCACGTCAAGAGATTGACTCTATCTGCAAGATAAACATTAACGATCAATAAACACACTGAAACACTAAAAGGATGAGGAAGAGGCTGAATTACATGAAATGGGATCATTCGGAACAAATATATCAATTTATGGTATCATTATGTCGACGCATCTGCATAAAATAAAGATAAAAGGTGGAGAAAACCTCAATAATTCTCAGAGACCAAATAAGTTCGGCCGCTTGTCTGCTGGGACTCGAAGCCTAGTGCCAAGAACTTTGACCAAGAATATATATTAAATCAAGGTATTAAACAAATACAATGTATGAATAACTTAATGGTTCAGAAACTTCCGAGACCGTAGTCGAGATAGATAATTAATATAATCTATTAAAATGAGGCGCGAATTTCGTCGTAAACTGAATAAACTAATAAGAAGGTGATTTGCTCTCCGCATAAAAATTGGTAGTATTTTACCGAAAATATTTTGAGCCCTAGACAATGACGTGTTTTGTATACTATTGGAATATATTATTATTTCACAACAGAGAAATTAACGAGAAATATTCATGTCGTGATTTAATTGGAATTATAGTTTCATTGCCATGGAACTGATTAAATGAAGCCCCTATTTTTGCCCAAAATTTTGTTAGTATTGATAGTATAATGTGTTAGGCTCTTCGAGTGTAGCAAGTTGAACTCAATAAATGAGTATGCTCGGGAAATTATGGAATTTATTATCTTCAAATTTATGAGAAATTCGTGATGCTGAAATATTTATTTGAAATTATTTCTCACCTGCTGAAGCGACAAAGAATGCAAGGACTGAGAGTCCCAGCAATGCTAGCAAGAATCTCATGACTGATGTGCTTTAATTTATCTTGCCAAGCTCTGGAATATATCGGGAACGAAATGACTGCTTGCGAGCAAGCCGCGTTCTCAGCGCCGAATAACCTTAAAATGAGACCGATCGGCCCGGCGCTTGTCGTGTTTCAAGAAACGTACTTTTTATCACAACAAAAATGCAATGTGGACAAATAAAAAATTTTGTTGAAATTCATCGCAATTCCGGCGAAATGTTTGGCTAACAGTTCAACGTGTGCGATAACAGATCGTGATTTCCCGGTCGCAGGCGAAAAAATCGAAAATGTATGAAGATATATTCACTTGTACCGAAAGATATTTAAGAAATCGACAAATGCAAAATCATTTCTAGCGTGGCAAGATATTTATACAATTTTTATTTTTTTCACTGTGATAAAAAACGTCAATCATCAGCAGCGGTTTAGTTACACTGCACTACCATGCTATCAAGCAGCGAACTACTAGGGGTAGTTCGCTGCTTGATAGGGGTAGTTCGCTGCCCCATCTTACGCTTGAAATCAATTCAAGCAGGTGCAGTAAGAGGGCATCCAGACAAGCAATTTTCTCGCAGAGTTGTTGTACCAGCAATACCTTTTTGTGCAAGCTCTTTCAAAAGAGGCACCGTTCCATAACACTAAGAGAATGCATCAAGATTGATGGAACTGCATCAATCATTAAAATAGAGAGACTTCAAAAGCAGGAAAACCAAACCCGCATCCCATCAACATCACTTCGCCTTATCTTCTCTGGTGATGCTCTGCCAAGAAAAAATCGAAAATGTATGAAGATATATTCACTTGTACCGAAAGATATTTAAGAAATCGACAAATGCAAAATCATTTCTAGCGTGGCAAGATATATGTCTAATTTTTATTTTTTTTTCACTATGATAAAAAATGTTAATCCCAGTGTTAAAAATGTTAAATGTTAGGCCCAGTGGTTAAAGTACAGAGTACCAAGATTGGCGCAGAGAGGCGCGGGTTCGATCCCAGCTCTGTGCGCCAGTTTCTGGTCAGAATCGGCGAGGAGGCCGGGCGGTTAAGCACAGCAGAATTGTAGCAGTAGTGCGTTGCGAGTTCGAGACCTCAAAATGCTGCGATTGTTCTGCGATGTTAAGAATCGGCGACAGGCCTACGGCCTAATAAACGCTGAAACCGCTATTATTATTATTATTATAGCAGCGGTTCAGTTACATTAATAGTGCATGATTAAGGAGAGCATGTCGGTGAAAAAAATTTTTCATTTACTGACGGATAGTTATGAAACTTGGTACACACATGTAGAATATAAATCATTGACTTTTTTGATTGTGTACATCTTTTTGTAATTGTAAATTTTTCGAAAAAATTATAAACGTGAAATTCATAGAAAGCGGCAAAATAGGGGGCACAGGAGAAATTTATCTCCTCAGGATTTTCAAGACACGACATCGAGAGACATATCAGTCGATGCGTAAAGTCCATAAGGATCTATAAATACAGATTTAATTTAAAGAAATCTTAGTAAAAATATTCTTTTTAAATATATATATTTTAATTGCTTTACGCAAAAACTAGAGCACGAACATATATGCGATTTGCTGCGTTAGACGCGCCTTTTCAGCAGCTACAAATGAGCCAAGAAACCGGACAAGCCAAAATTTATGATTTTTGACCGACATGCTCCCCTTAATTGCATTAAATTAAATGCGCAAGTATGGTAGGAATTATTTTCCACCCTACACAACTACAGATAAAGTCATAGGTACGATTTTGTAAGATTGTAAAGTTAAAATCTTCTTCAATAAAAGGACTATAATTTTTTCCCTTATTCAAGGCATAAATTAGCGAATAACAAAGGTAGAATTATGATATTTATTTCTAAGAATAACAAGGATAAGAACGGAAAGACTCAATTGTCGTAGATGTGACGTCATTAACTCTCTTTCAGCTAAAACTGCACCACAATAGGCGAAGTAATCGCCGATTTCTTATGAAATCCTTGCATTTAATTGGTAGCAAAAGAAGGAGGTTAATCATAAGAATATCCACAGCTGAAACAGTGAGTGAATAGAACTCATTTTGGTGGTTCACGATAGTCAAAAGCAACAGGCGCTATTAGATTATTACATAATTTTAAACGTGTCGAATCCAGGAGTGTAGATATGGTCGCAACCAGAAGTAATTTGCATGATTATTTAATTATTAATTATGGTATTAAGTTTCTATACAGGAATTCAGAGGCAGATAATTTTTAACATGCACTTTGTTCCAACCACGCGATTTGGAGGGTCGTAATAATATTTTTGTTTTATATAATACAACATTAAGAACTAGCTCTAAAATGGCATATTCTTGGCGTGGCATTTTCTTGACTACACGGGTGTTAAACGCATATTTGTTTACGAATTGGTACTAAATGGCTATTACTTAAGTACCAATTTAAAAAAATAGTCTTTTTAGCGCACTTTCTCATTTATTGAAAAAATGCCCTATTGTGCTCGTCATGTCCGTCTGTCTGTCTGTCTGTCTGACCATCAATCTGTACGTCCGTGACTTCACGTTTTCGTCGACGAGAAAATGCGCTCTCTGTCACTCACTGACTGCAGTGAGTACTGAGTTACATTTTTTAGAGTGATCCTTTGTCCATGAAGACGATAAAATAGAACTCTAGAAATTGAAATATGTAATCCTAGTGTTGTTTCATGCTAGTTTTTACTTATTGCGACACTTGAGTAATCAAAACATAATTTGTTTTGCTGTGAAACTTTTAATGCTGTGAAATTTTTTATGCTGTGAAACTTAATTAGGACAAATATTCTAAACTCATTCATGAAGATTTGTGCTAATTGTGACCTCTATATATGCAATATGGCTTTTTGAGCACATTTCATAAATATTTTATTTCTCATATTTTTTACATTCTAAAATGACTCTCGAATCGTCAAGAAATTAACCCATGGGTCTAAAATTTTGCAAACACCGTTTTTTGCACTTCCAGAACTTTTCTGCACTAATTTGAGACCGAACGCCTGAAAGTTGAAAGTTTTAAACTCCAGAAAGTTCAAAAATGTAACTCAGTACTCATTGCAGTGAGTGACAGCGAGCGCATTTTCTCGTCGACGAAAACGTGAAGTCGCGGACGGACAGATGTACGGTCAGACAGACGGACAGACAGACGGACATGACGAACACAATAGGGCATTTTTTCAATAAATGAGAAAATGCGCTAAAAACACTTAACTCAAACGTAAATTATCTTTCGCCAGGCTTTCTTGCCCATGACAACTATTCTGGTACTGTGGTTCTCTTTATCTCTTATATCACCATCACTGAGGGAATTCGTCTGCCCCCAAAGGGTGAAATTCCTTCAGGCTAGCGAGATGGTTTGTAGGGAGCCGCTTTATTTGAGGGCCTCTATTTTGCCATTCATAGTCTTCCTTCATGTGGTAGCACGCTTTTAATCTAATGCCTCCTCGTTATTATTGGGTGGCCCAGTTTAACCACCACAGGGTGGCCCATTGGTTAAAGTTCAGATTACCAGGATTGACGCAGAGAGGCGCGAGTTCGATCCCAGCTCTGTGCGCCAGTTTATGGTCAGAATCGGCGAGGAGGCCGGGCGGTTAAGCACAGCAGAATTGTAGCAGTGAGTTGCGAGTTCGAGACCGCAAAATTCTGTGAATGTTCTGCGATGTTAAGAATCGGCGACAGGCCTACGCCTAATAAACGCTGAAACCGCTATTATTATTATTATTATTATTATTATTAGTAATATGAGACATTCAGAGATCCTAATCGAGGGAACAATGAACCTGATCCTCATTAATTTCAACGTTTATTCACTAACTTGACTGCGTACCTCAGACAAGTTGGTGTTTACCTTGATTCACCCTTGACTGAGTACCGTCACCTTGAGTCTCCCTCATTCTATTTTTTTAATACTTAGATCCTGGTATTCCTGATAAGAATAGCAGTTTTTCGACTACATGCATGTAAACTCCATAAAGATTGCGTTTATGATCAAACCGCGCGTCATCAACACACGAGAGCTCTAACAACGCTTAAGTCATATTTTGGTTGGAGTTTAGGGGAGGGAGTTAAGGATTTAAAGGGAAATTAATTAAAACTCGCATTTCAGAAACTCTCACTCAGTACAGAACAACTCTGGGACTTAAAACCCGCCATGAAATAAAATCTGTAGCGTTCTCTGTACGGTATAATAAGCCATATTTTAGGGATCTGTTTCAGTCAGAAAAAGATTTGAAGCCACATCGGCATCACTTTTATTACACGGAAATGTTCACCTATGAGTCTTAAAAAATCAATAGAATCCTTGAAATCATTACAAACTGAATAAATTAATATTGCAATTTCATAATGGATTAGCCAACGATGTCTCTGGCTTTGTTATTCTCAAGTCTACTATAGGGCTAGATTCTTCTTCAGTTCAAAGATCTAAGTTAACATTTGTCAATTTTTGCCAAATTTATCGAGCAATGATCCAACGCACCACGCTATTCTTCGGTTGATCTTCTAACAGCATCGCTATTAATTGATGAATAAATGTATGAACATCAAAAGAATTCCATTTTTTATGAACACTGACTAAATTTTGCAACAGGCTCTTTGTTTCGCAGCAGCGTGCTTATCTCCGCTCGGAAGTGTGGTGAATGTCCGAGAGCAGTTTGTGGATACAAATCCTCATGTGTTTACCAGCAGACTAGCAGACCAGCAGACTAGCAGACCAGCAGACATGTTAAATCGTGCAGATTGTGGCGTGTTGAAGCGCGTAGATTGTGGCGTGTTAAATCGTGCAGATTGTGGCGTGTTGAAGCGCGTAGATTGTGGCATGTTGAAGCGTGAAGATTGTGGCGCTTTGAGGCGCGTAGATTGTGGCGTGTTGAAGCGAAAAGATTGTGGCACATTGAATCGTGCAGATTGTGGAGTGTTGAAGCGTGCAGATTGTGGCGCTTTAAATCGTGCAGATTTCGGCGAGTTAAAACGTGAAGACTGTGGCGTGTTGAAGCGAGCAGATTGTGGCGCCTTGAATCGTGCAGATTGTGGCGTGTTGAAACGTGTAGATTGCGGCGCGCTAAGACGTCCAGATTGTGGTGCGTGGAGGTGCGCTGATTGTGGCTTTTTAGAGCACGCAGATTGTGCTGAATAAATGCGTGCAGATAGTGCTGATATATATTTTGCAGATTGGGACATCGTAAAGCTTGCAGAAGAATCTAACTTCTTTTCAAGATTATCCCTACACTCCTTCAAATCGGTCAGCAAGCGGGTATAGAAATGTATTACTCCGTGACTCCTATGATCGTTTCCAGGAGCAGCTTCGGCAGTTGAGGTTTGTATAAAGGCGATGTGGTCGAGTTCACCGCTACGGTAGAGACGACATGCTGCCACCCAAGCTGAGTCATGAGGGGTTCCTTTAGGAAATTGCATCACCCAACAGCAATAATCATCGAGATCCGCTGCATCGTCGATGAAATCCGCGACCACTTCAGTGATCCACGGACGAGTGCGTTCCCGAGACGGTACTTCTATGGGTGGTTCCGAGCTGATGCCCGACCTGAAAATTATGGGTTAGGCCCGTCGTCGATATATTATCAATATCTATATTTAAATATCAGATAACACGAACTAAAAATGCCTAAAAAATACTTTCCCCTTATAGTTTTGGCAATATCAGAATTAAATAATTCAGACACGGGCCTGAATAGTACAAAAATAAACTGTTTGTAAGAGCGTAAACTAAAATAAAAAGACGCTTGCTCTTAGTTTTTAGAACATTACATTTTTATTGAGAAGTTGGATTGAATAATTTACCAGAGTCTGTAATCACTTGCATTGAAGAGAATCTCTTCTTCACTCGACAATATAGACAATATATTCTGGGGATTTTTTCGTTGGCAGCCTTACAGAATTGCTTAAGCAGTCATTGTTGGATACTCATGGGAACCAAGGACGTTATTCCCCCATTGACTTAACCACACATGATATTTAGTTATAAATAATTATATCTAGAATAGTAACATTTATTTTATAATAAGAAAGTAATATAAAGCTGTGAGCATTGAAGTTTTAGCCTTGTCCTGCCTCTAGCTGATAGAAGACCTCGGATAATTTGCACAGCTAGCTGGCTCCCAAACCAGCCACTCACTGCTCCAATTTTAGTATTCTTATCGTCTCGGTCAACCAAACGATCATGCGAGTCGTTCGTGCGTCTGAATGATTTCCAAGTTTAAATAAATGTTCCAGTCGAGACTTTTAACCCTAACTTCATCATATGTTATGCGTGTCGGGAACTACTGTGTGCAAAAATTACCTATATTATAATTACCTCTGTTCCAGATGGTCAAACGTGGGAACGGGTAAGCGGTAGAGATAGTTCTTCTGAGCAATGGTTGCATTTCTTACCACTTTCGATTTGAAATCTGCCTTGTAGGCAACGGAGCCAAAACTATCACAAAAATACTGCATTTTCTCGACCAACTGTTGCCCGTATTGAAGAACTAGTTTCCGGTTCGTATGAGGCCCGCAGAAGAAGCGTATTGTGCCGCGGCCAGTGTTTCTTGCGCGGTGGTAAGGGGCGCCAGTCGATGTCATAATGGCAATTATGCCTGGTAAATCTCCAGCCCTGTAGAGCTTTACGGCCTTTGTCCACATGTCGTCCATGTAATCAGTCTTGAAGAACAACATCCATTTGCCGCGCAAGTTCTTCTTGTATTTGTACTTCCCGGCAATGGTCCTAACTTCCAACTTAATGTAGTCCTCCACTCCTCCTCAAATTCATCCATAGGCTTCTGCGTCGCCATTTAAACGTCTGAGAAATAGAAAATGTGTTCAAATTAGATAATTGTTGTCATTATATTGCACTGAGAAAAGAAAAAATTGCCCTATATTAGCTTGTTATTGATCTGCGATAGAGAAATAATGAATTATTTAAACATCTTTCAATTATTGATATGTTACCATTGTAAGTGAAACAAAACTTAATTCTAAAACGGGAATATAACATCAATGCATCAGCAGATAGCACTTCAACCGTACAAAATATTAAGATTATATTAGGATAGAACTCTGATTTAAGAAAATAGTTAAGATACTGCATATTGGGCACTTCCATCAGTGAATGATCAGTATTTCATCCCTTACTGGGAATACAACGGCATGAACCTACAAACTGGGAGCTCAGGTCATTCCTCACTGGGAACGCCATAGTTCGAACACCTGAGTGCATGACCATAAAACTGTTAAACTGATAACAATCTTTATATCTTTCATCGATTACCTCGATTATTAGTAAGAATTAAAGTTCCGATGAATTAAAAATGGAAATTATTAGTCGAGTACTCCATCAATAACCATTAATATTCATGTCATAAATCACCATTATCTTCACCAAACGCGCAATCGTGTCTTCGGCATGCAAGTTTGTGAACCCGCGAGACGTTAGCTAAGCAGTAAACCTACAACATTTGATATTCCTTCTACGTAGATTATGATCCGATGTTTAAGAGATCATGGTCATTTTTAAGATAATATGCCGCTATTAAAAATAAAATGTTGATGTTCAACATAGTTCTCAAATGGTTGATATTCTCTTGCTATTTTCATGAACCTACTGCATTGTAAGAGATGCCAATCGGACTGTAAAGTTCTCCTGTGATGTTCATAACAATAATACAATGATCAAAATTCGACTCCGATGTTCCATGTCCTAATTTTAAAGGTTATGCTCTGAGATTTAATATACTAATAACGTTCTTCTAAGACCGCAATTTATTGGTCAAGATTGTACAGTCTTTCTCATTCAACCACTTTTCTGCTGTGATGTGCAAGGATCTATATTGATATTTAATATTAAACTCTGGGCTTTGAGGTTCCACTAAGTTATTCAGAACATTGTTCGGACATCAAACATCTGTCTACTTTGATGTTCACCATTATCATCCAATATTTAGCATTTTACTTTTGTACATCTAGTCTATTTCGATGTTCATCATTATCATCCGATATTCAGCATTTTACTCTTGAGCGTCTAGTCTACTTCGATGTTCACCATTATCATCCGTCACTCAGCATTCGACTGCGATATTAAACATTCTACGCCCGATATTCATCTCCATACTCTGATATTCAACATTAATTCTCGCATCATATGTTTGCAATAACTCTATTGATTTTTGTTGAGACAAGTACTTTCATAGGACCTTCATTTCATAGGACTTACACCAACCTCCTTGCCGGTACGTGAACTTGTTGGTAAGTTTGTGTGTGCGCTTGTGTGTTTGAATGCCTGGTGTTATGGTTACTATACAGGGGCAGATATCATCGTAATTATTGGAGAACGTATGCATGAGAATGACGATCATGCTAACATGCATACGCCTCAAGCGTTACTCCAGACAAACCTGCTACAACTGGTAACCTGTCGCTTCGAGGTTGAATTTCCACGCCTGGTTTACCTGTTGAGCAACTGAAAACTACAGCAGCTGGTTGAAATTGAATTTTCAAGTGAAAATTTGGACTAATTAACTCACTTTTTAGAGTGAAATTTAAAACAAATGATAACAGAGTACAGCACTACACACACGCTCGACGGCTGCTCGTAGCTTATTGACCTGACATGCACAGGTGTTTAGAGACGTTGAGACCTTCGAGAGCCCAGACCCATGGTGATTCATAACGGCGAACTGCCACGCGACATATCAGATTATACCGGGTGAGTCAGAAAGTCTTTCTTTTTGTAGGGAGGTGATAAATGAAGAACAAAACTACTGCAAGTGTCGTTATAATTATATTTTCCTACCTGAAAATAACCCCATAAGATAGAGTCTCTTGGACGAGAGACTGCACGATAAGCCAGAAAGTACGGGATCGAACAGATAGAATAAACAAACACTATTTACTCAGCTGTTCTGCTAATAAATCGCTGGTTGGTAACAATTTATGCGAAGCAGGCTTAGCAGAGCTTAATTTATTCGGAAAAACTATCAAATTGAGTCACCCGGTGCATAAGCCCTTAAGAATCAATAAAAATTAACATTTGGAAACCAGCCAGCAACATTATCTAATACAATATATTTAAACTGATTTTATTTTAATGTCATACGGCTCACATAAGGAGGCAACTTTTTCGCCAGTCAGATACTTCGGTTAAGATAATGCTGAACGTCTTCAAGCTCATCTTGATATGACCCCAAGTTAATAAACTTATTACTGCGTTAGAATATAAATCATTACTGAATGCAAGTTCAACCAAAACTCTCGAGCTTCAAAACACTTTAGTTTGGTCAAAATTAATTTAAATATGAGTCTTCGTGCGAATCATCAAACGAGTGAGGATTATTGGTGTGCATGATATGGCAAAATTCATGGCAAGCGAAGCAGAAACGTCATTGGAGTTTGTCACGGGACTGAGTATCCCTCGTGTGGCGCACAGTGCAGTTCGCCCCCGCATTGCGTGTTTTAACCCTTTAATGTCGAGAATTATGTTATATGAATTTTTCACAATTTTTCACCCCAAATGACTCTTTATGATGTCAATAAACAACTAAAACACTTAAAGCGAAACTTTATTTGAAAATATGAAAAATACAGCTTGGGAACTTATGTGCCCATCCGGCTATAGATAATGATTTTAGAAAAAATTTAAAATAAACATATAAATATAGTCCTTTGTTAGCTCTATGCACACAGACTGCTTTTTATTTCTAAAAGCTAACTAGTAGAGTATCTATGGCTTAGAGTGGTATTTTTCCATGCATTCAGGATGCAAGGGGACCTTGCACATCTTGCATATGTGAGGTGTTCTGCCCTGACACTGCTTGCATCTGCTGCGTGCATGCTCTCCTCTTGCAGTCCAATGGCCTTTGCAGTTGTACCGCACACTTTCTTCTGCACTACCTGTACTGTATTTAGGACCTGTTGCCTTTCTGGTGGTTCCATAGGTTTTCAATGTAGCTATAACTAAGTTCCTGGAAAAGTCTAGTAGGCTCATGTCAGCATGCACTCGTCTGTACTGACGCCAAGCATTTACCACTTGAGCATTTATGCTCCAAGCAAACAAGGGCCACCACCATTTTTTTGACCTGATTCGCACTCTGTAAGCTGACACTTGCTGGTCAAACAAGTCAACGCCTCTCATATGCTTGTTGTACAAACTGATAGAATTTGGTACTGGAATTTCCACATGCTTCTTAGTAATCCGATCCCACCTCCTTGCATATTTCAGTGGCTTAGCTCTGGCTTTATTTGAGGCAACACTTACAACTTTGTTGTCCTTCCATTTGACGAGAGACACGCAATCAGTGTATGCCTCCTCCATTGTACCTCTTACTTTCTTGTTCATAACTTGTCTTGCAGTAAGAGGGCATCCAGACAAGCAATTTTCTCGCAGAGTTGTTGTACCAGCAATACCTTTTTGTGCAAGCTCTTTCAAAAGAGGCACCGTTCCAAAATAATTGTCACATACAACGTGTTGTCCTTTCTGCAGCTTAGTTTTTTTCACCAAGTCTAACACTATGTTTGGACCGTGGCCAAACCAATGGTCTTCAATATTTGTGCGTGCTCGGCAGTATGGCTCAACATGCAAAAGGGCGCCATTTGAATCACAAGCAGCGCATAATTTAAAACCGAATCTCACAGGCTTTCCCCTAATATATTGTTTGTCTCCATGTCTTCCATAATATGGCACCATAACATTAGCAACACTCATGAACTCTCCTTGAAAACGGTTCTGCATCATTACCTTGTTTATGTGTTCAAATATAGGTCGAACTTTGAAGAACCGGTCTGTATTTACTTTCATATTATCAGTAAAGTGAAGGCATCTCATTATTTGGTCGAAAGTGTCTCTCCTCATCGAATTTATCACTAAAAGATTCTGAGTATCTTCTTTTGATGACCAATACAATCTTCTATGTGGAAGTTTGTTGTAGCCAGAGAGGACTAGTATTCCAAAAAACACTCTCAGGTTGTCAACAGTCATAACGTCAGATTGCAAAGATTTTTGTTGTGCATGAACTCTACTTTGTTCACAGATAAACTTCAACCAGTCATCAGTCCAAAATTTTTCGATGCATTCCAAAATACTCTCATTCACTACTTGTTGTTCTGTATGCATATCATAATCTCCAACACTATCAATAACTTTTGTTTCGTCTCTGTGCCAAACTACCTTCTCTTTTCGGAGTTTCTTCTTCCTCTGCTGACCATCAGGAGACGGCATTTGATCCTCTCTTTTGTCAGTGAGTACTTCGGAAAGTAAAATTCTTCTTGGTAAATGAATGGGATTGCATGTAACTTCACTGTCAGAGGCATCAGAGTCGCAGTCAGTATCAGCAGCTGCTTCTTCAATGGGAGGCTCGATTGCAACATTGATTTCAAAATTACTATCATCATTAGTTTCTTCCTGAAGTATTTGACACACCTCGTCCAGGGTCAACCTGAAAAACGAAATATCTAAAAGATTATTTTAATATTTGAAAATATCACTCAAATCACTTCTTGCAATACAATCCATAACTCGTTACAATGATTTGAAGATGCTGACAATTTAAATTTAAGTATCCGTGCGAATCATCAAATGATTCAGGATTATTGGTGTGCATGAAATGGCAAAATTCATGGAAAGCGAAGCAGAAACGTCATTGCAGTTTGCCACGGGACTGAGCATCCCTCGTGTGGTGCACGTTGCAGTTCGCCCCCGCATTGCGTGTATCAACACATCGTGTGCCACCCATAGAATAGAAGTGTCGGCACTGAAGAAATAGGCCCATGGCCTGTTGCCGATTCTTAAACTTTTCGTGACTTGATTCACAAGGGATCCAGCCTTTGGAACCCGATCTTACCATAACTGACGATTGATTGAGATAGCTGCTGGACTTATTGCCTGGTCCGTAATTTGCCACCCATAGCCTAAAACAAAATCGTGCTAAACGTGAAACGGGGTTTCATCATTCACATTATTTCATGATCGCTTGATGGAGTAGAGGAGAAAAAAATTTCAGTAAGTAAATGATAATTTTTATTCAAAAATCTCATCAGAGGAATATTAGTAGTATAGTACAAATCACGATGAGTTACTCAACATGTATTCATGTAAAAATGAATGTGATTTTTTTATAAATAACAATAACATAAATCAAGATATTCCAAGGCTGAGAATTGTATTTCAGGACGAAATACGAATAAACACAGAAAATAAAACACAATAAAAAAGTGGGTATTGGAAAGCACACTTATACTCGAGATGAATGCCTCAAGGAGAAGCAAGATACGCAAAGGTGTGGGTTTCCTTCACAAGTATCACAAAAGGTCGCCACTTTCCTTGCTTTTCGTCTCGCAGCTGCGCTTCCTTCACACTTAGCGGTAATTTCATAGCAGGACCGGCAACGCTTCCTTGTCTTGCGAACTGTTCCAGTCGGCTCCACTAATGCATGGCTGGAACGCTGGCCTCCAATATTTGAAGGCCTTGGTCCTGGACGTATTTTTTCATTGTTTTTCCCAGTAATGAGAGACATGACTAGGCACTCTTTGAATTCGATCAGTTCCATTGTCTTCTGATGGCTATAAAACTGATTGTAGAGTGCCCAGGCATTTATTACAGCTATTCCTGTTAACACCTCGATGGCCAATTTACGGTACCACTTCGTGCTGCTTCTGATCGCAGAATTGCACGATGTCAACTCATCTGGTTTACGAATAGCCAATGCAGCAGCACTGTAGTCAAGAATACTTTGTGGCTTGAGTATTTCAACTCCACTTCGGTTCTTTTTCTTAGAGGGCTGAAGATTGTCTGAATGTTCGGGCACAGTAGATAACGTTAGAATGTTACATTTATTTTTCCAGGAGCAAACTTTCACTCCTTTGTCGTTCATCAAGCCTACGATTTCTCCTTTCTTTAGCTTGGCCTTTGTGATGGCCTGGGGCAAAGCTTCTTGGTTTTTCCGCACAGTTCCACAGTAGTAAATTTTTGCCTGTAAGAGTTTTTCGGCCAAGGGCACGGAAGAATATGAACTACCCGCATAGATAGTTGATCCCTGCTGAACAAGAGGCCTTGAAAGCTGCAGAACAACAGACTCCGAACGCTGAACTGTGGGTTCTTTGGACAAGTTGCCAGAACATACAAGAAAATTCAAAGTGTACAAGTTGGGTGAGCATAGCTTATAAATCTTCAATCCATATTTATGGGCCTTTGCAGGGTTGTATTCTCCTCTGATTCCTCTTCCTCTGAAGGGAATGAACGACTCATCTATGACAACATTCGACCCTGGCGTGTACACTGACCTGCAGGCCTCAGCAACGGTGTCAACTAGAGGCTGGATTTTCCGCAACTTGTTTTGCCGATCTATCACTTTGCTGTCATTACAGTGAAGCATATTCAGTAACAACATGAATCTGTCTCTGGACATGTGGTTTCGAATGAAGGAATAATTATATATCTCACTTTTAGACCAGTAGTGTTCAATTTTTGGGACTCGAACTAGGCCCATGCACATAACAATCCCAAGAAACTTTCTCATTTCTTCTGCATATGTTGGTTTCCATTTGGCTAACCTCGCCTTCCTTTTCATAGCTTTTGACTGAAGAATTTTAGTTGCATTTCTATTGGTACCATTAACAATATAATCAATAACTTCATCCGTAACAAAGAGAACATATAAATCCAAAGGCAACACCGTATTATTCTCCCCACTTGGCGTTGGTTTCTTCAGAAGCTCCTCTTGGCCTGTGAATCTGAAAGATCGCTGTGAAGCCACAATCGGAGCCCACGAACGATCTACATGGAGTTCAGAGTTATCCATTTCAGATTCACTATCTTCCTCCTCGCTTCCAGCATACGTTGACGAATTACTCCCAGAACTTACAGACAAAAAATCCTCCAAAACATCGCGACTCCAGTTGCTACTTGATGAACAAGAATCATCTTCGTCTGAATGATCTCGCCAAGAGCCGCAAACCAAAGAAGGATTCATGTGTCTGTAGAAGAAATAAAAATGTATAAAACTATTGAAAAATTCTTGCAATACTCATTACTTTGAATTTCAGCTTGCGTTGGAAGATTTTATTTTCAATGAAGTCTGGCTGTTAGAATGGAGAATTTCTCAAATTTCGAGTTGACTGCTGGGCATTAATGGTCATAATTGAATGCAAAACGCCGAACGAAATTACATCACAAATCAACTTTCTGAGTGATCAATGCTGAAGCAGAAACATGATTAGCGTGAGTAATCAATTCTGATAGAAACTTGATGTCAAAAGGTTATAACTTTATTTTTTCCAAAAAATGTCATCAAATCCTAATGATAGTCGCAGACCAAATTTGCATTTAGACACCATAGCGTGTGGTTAATTTTTTGAATCTTGGAAATTATATACTGGTTTTCTCCAGCGCGTTTAAGGAGTTTTGGTTTAAAATTTGTTACCATTCAACATCTGAGTTCAAATATGTGCTGCTTAAATAAGAAATTGCCTTCATAGCTTTGAATTAAGCACTGGAAGCAGCAAAAGAAGTGTCAACACCAGTTAATGATGCTTAGTTGTACAAACTTTCCTACTGTACCAAGTTTAGTTTTCTGATGAAATTGAATTTGGAAAAATTGATCAAGTGTAGCAATATAATGACACAGCTTGCATTTCAACACAGATCCAAATCCATTATTAGCAAGCATGTGCACTTAAATAGCCCATTTATTAGCGATGTACATTCATGCCCTTTGCATTTGGCTACTTATCTCAACACATGTTCAGAAAACATGTACATTTTAAGAGCAAACTAAAGCAGTGCTCTGGTCACTCAGATCACATTGAAATGAGTGTTCTCAACCCTTTCACGGCTGAATTATCTTGTGATGCCAAATAAAATATTTTTATGCCAAAAATGAGTCATTTAGGTGTTAAATAATAGAGAAAGTACAATAGTTATGAAATATTCCTTTCTTTGATAAAGTTACAAAATATTGCCTTAAGTCTACATCCGACAGATATAGACAATTTCAAATGACTACTTTATATGGTATTGCGCATAGCATGTTTTTGTTCTAGTAAGGCATAAACCTACATTACATTTGTTGCACATAACTTTAGTGAAACCTTTCACACAAAACTTGCATCTTTGTTTAGTTTCAGCAATAAATGGCAAATGACCAATATTGTCGAAACGCACAGCATCTAATGGATGCGAGAGTTTCCTTCTTTTTGTGGTAGCGGCTCCATTTACGCTGCTTGGTCTTTCTCTTGGAGTCATCAAACCAATGGCTAGATCTTCCTTGAAGTCAGACAGACACTTCACTTTTGATTTCAGTACTTGGCAATTCCTTTTATACAAAAGCCAAGAATTCACCACACTCATGTCCAGCAAATAAAAAAAAATTCTCATGTACCATTTTTTAGATTTGAAATCTATGCGGTAAAGTTCGATCAACATGTCACATAGATCGACACCTGCCATAAATTTGTTATATTCTTTTACAACAAATGGTCTGTTTATTTCAATGTGCTTGTTTAGTTTTTTGTCCCATCTCCTGACGGTGTCTGCTGGAGTGATGCCGGCATAAGTTGATAGAAGGTGAACAGACTTATTATCAAACCACTTCACTGCTAATACATTACGATTTGTTTCGACACGGTAGTCGAAGCTTCCTCGACCCTCTTTCTGTAATTTCTCGTCATTTTCCATGATGCATCCTTCCAGTCTATTTGCTCTAACAGTAGATACATTCAAGATTCCAGATTCCTTTAGTTTTGATGATAAATCAACAGAAGAGAACCAGTTATTGTAGAACAACTTGTAGTTCAAGTGCTTAGGTATGCCTTCAGCAAGACGAAGCACATAGGCAGATGATGCTCCAACACCAAGGTCATCATTTTTCTGAGATTTGCCTGTATATATCTCGAAATCATAAACAAACCCACTTGATCCTGCTCGTGATATTACTTTGTATCCCCATTTGTGAGGTTTTTTTGGATTGTATTGTTTCAAAGATATGCGAGCTTTTGTAGGAATGATTTGCTCGTCTACAACTTGATGTTCTTCCTGCGATACCTTCCGACAATTTGATCTGACAGATTCAATTATGGGTCTTATTTTGAATAATTTATCAAAATCGGGATCATTTCTGGTCTTCTGCTGAGTGTTGTCGTTGAAATGAATATATCTTTTTATCTCTTCAAACTTATCTCTACTCATGACATCTGATATTGCTGTCAGTTGCAGGCCTTTCTTCCAGTATGTCCGATAGCTGGGAACTTTTATAATACCAGTTAGAAGTAGAATTCCCAAGAAGCATTTCATGTCAGTTTTTTCAAGATGCATCTCTTTGCCATCCTTCTGTAGAGCATGCAGTTTAGTTTGTTGAACAATTAAATCTATAAGAGCATCATCAAAAATCAAATTGAAAAATGAAGTTGCACTAAATGTTTGCCATTCTTCATCAACAATAAGACTGTCTTTCCATTCAATATCATTAGGTGGAGAGAAATCTTGTTTTCTCCATTTGAATTCATTTATTACATTCTTAGCTGCTCTCTGTTGCTCTGCCCTACTTGAAAGCAGAATATCATCTTCAGATGCACCATCATGCACTTCAATATTTGGCAAGGTGCGAATATGTTGGATGGTATCTTCTTCAATATCATCATGTAAAGCAGATTCAAATTCTTCATCATCTTCATCAGATTTATCACCATCAGGACAGAGTACAATCTCCATAGCTTCATCTATTGTCAGAAACTTCCTACACTGAAGAATTGCTGAGCGCTTCTGTACCTTTTCATATTCGGTCAAGTGTTCTGTGTTAGATCTGCTTGATCCCGGTTGCTCATAAGACATGATGGATCTGCAATATAATATAAAGAATAACTACTTTGGACTACAAATATATCATTGGTATTACATAATTATAAAACTATATTTTATAATAATAAACAAGACATAATACATAGGTATGTAACACGTTAAGTGCGGTACAACCCACCATTGGGTCGTTGCTGATTTCCATCTGCTGGTCGTTTATAAAAATAATACCGAATATTTAGAAGAACCCAAAAAAGTTAGTAGTTTTGAAACTTATGGCACAGTCGTGTTAATGTCATGAAATAATGGTTTTAAATAATAGAACACAAGTTTAACTCTTATTCAAGTACCAGAAGAACATTTTTATTATTTCCAGTTGCAAGGTTATAATTTGGGGAAAATACCTTCGAATTAGTGATTATGGTTTGAACCGAAACATGACCAGCACATGAATGGTTTTCCAGAGCATCCTTCACAAAATGTTGATACTTTTTTTGCCTTTCTGTCAGCAACTTTTGACCCTTCTGACTGGCAGATCCTTTTATAGCATCCCACACAGCGCTTTCTTGTCTTGCCTATTGGGCCAGGAGCTTTGTTCAAGCAATGGGCAATTGGCAACCCGCCTGTTATTTGAGATGGTCTCCCATCAGGCAGCAATTCTTCCATTGGATATCCATACAGGAGTGAAAGAATAATAGATTTTCTGAAATTTACAATTGTCCATTTGTGCAGCCCACTGCAATATTTGTTAAAGATTAGGAGGGCGTTGACCACAGTACATCCACACAGCAGTTCCAAACATAATTTCCTGTACCATTTTCTAGTTTTTCTCAAAGGACTGTAAAATGAAATGAACTGGTCTGAAAGATCCACTGCTTTTTTACGGGTATTGTAGTCTAGAACACTGTCAGGTTTCATCACATCTGATCCAGTTCTTGTTTTTTTCCCTGTTGCTCTTAAAACATCTGTATGCTCAGGAACTGTAGTTAAAGTTAGTACATTTGCTTTGTTCTTCCAGTTTAGGACTTTTATGTCATGTTCATTCTTCTTTCCAATAATTTCTCCCCTTTTCAACTTTGCTTTTGTCACCTCAACTGGCAGTCCTTTGCGATTGGAACGGATGGTCCCACATAAGTAGATCTTGTGATCCAGGAGGAACTTTGCCAGGGGAAGGGATGTATAATAATTGTCTGTGTAGACAGTCATCCCTGTGCCTAGCAAGGGGTGCATTAATCTGGCAACTACAGACTCAGCCGAACCTAAATTTTTGCAAGATTCACTTCTGCCACAACATATTTCAAAGTTCCATGTGTAACCATCGGGGGAACACAACTTGAAAATTTTACAACCGTACTTGTGGCATTTATTTGGTATGTATTGCCTGAAAATAGGCCGTCCTCTATAAGGCACCATTGTTTCATCGATGACTACTTCACGGTTCAATTTGTAAACCCTTTGGTATCTTTCTAACAGTAGTCTTGTTATTGGTAAGAGCTTATCTAGCCTGCTTGTTGATGGACCACGTGAATCGTTGAAATGAAGGGTCCTCAGTAGAATAAGAAATCTGTCTCTGACCATTATATCACGGACACATTTTCTCTCAAATAGAACACTTTTTGACCAGTAAGATTCCATGGAATGCTGAGGATTCAGTCCCATGTACAGAATGATTCCTAAAAATTTTTTTATCTCTGTAGAATCAGTTGGCGTCCAGGAATTCAGTCTCGTTTTCCTTGTTAGATTTGGTTGTGCTTGCAAGTAATCTGCATAATTATTTGTTTCACGAACAATCAATTCTATGATTGAATTGGTCAAAAACATAGAGTACACATCAATAGGCCAGATTTTCCCTTCATGAGAAGGGTTAGGTGTGACTGACAGTTCTTCTTTTCCAGAAAACGGAAACTTTCTTTCATTGGAGTTGGCACTATGCCACACACCTTGCTCTGCCAGACCTTCTACTGCTTGAATATCGTTTTCGTCGTGTTCATCACTAAATTCACCATCTAACTCAATTTCATCACTCAATTCATCACACTCTGAACCATCAGTCCCCTCTGGTGAGAACGTGTCATTTGATAGAATAGTATCATCACTGTCAGAAGAAGGTTTATCAAGTTTCATTCTCTTAGATCCACTGTAAAAACTAGATGTTTCCGTCATGAACGGTCTGAAAATACAAGAAAGTGAGTTGTGAACTAAGGAAATATTGCAAAATAAGTTTATCAGAAAAATGTCACATGACCCAAATGTGGGTTGGACTGCAGTGGCATAAATCTCATTCAGCTGCAAACCGACCCACATGTGCATCGTGAATTCTATTGGGTTAACATGTAGAGCACGTTGAGAAACACACATAACCACCCACTTCGATATCTCAACAGGCACTGAAGCTATAGAACCGTAACATATCTGCACCAGAGGACAGTTGGCAGTTTCGGTGCCCGCACTTAACGTGTTAAATATTCTTAACAAACTGGTGTAGTTCAAGATATTAGTTTGTGGCAATGGCACATTCACTAAACTTCCATCAAAATCCTTACCCAAAGCTGTCTGCAGAGCAGCTCCAAACTAAAGTAATTTTCATCATGGTTGAACTATATAAGGTTGACCCACGAGGAGTTCCGTCTTTCAGTTCAGCTTTCTTGTTATGTCACGTAGATCGAGAAACGTAAACAATCCCGTCATTCCCATGACGGATTGGTTGACTGGTTTGATTGCATTTCGGTGGTTGGTCAATGTCTGTGACGTCACTGAGATCAGTGACGTCACAGACGAACACAAGCTACATCCGCAAAAATGGGCTTCTGATGGGTCAACCTTATACTATTTCAACCATGATTTTCATGAGTAATGCTGAGGTAACACCACAACTACAATGCAAATCAATAGAATAGACCTTGTTTAGTACTCTGCTAGGTAACTTGTACCTTTTGCTGTGGAATAATTACAAACCTCAAGCTAGAATAAACTATAGCATGCTTAGGAAAAAAATGAATTTTGAGATTTTTTTAGGTTTAGTCAGTTCAATAGTCTAATAATTCAAATTGCAAACATTGCTCTCAATGACCTTCAAATAATCTAATACCTTTCAAAATCTTCTCTGTGATCTGAAGAAAAATTTTGCTCTTCTGCAGAAATTCCAGCATGTATACTCCCAAAAGGTTCAGCCATCTGTTCTTCTTTGATGGCATTGAGAGGAGCCTGGCACTGCAAGCCATCCTGAGAAAAAAAAGTATTTTCCATGATATTAATTTTAGTTTTGGTTATAGACACTTGAATATGTTTTGATTTACATTGAAAAATAAACTATTAATTTCTGAAAATTATCAGTTCATTATTCTTGGCATTATTTCATGGCATATGGATAAATGAACATGGTTTTTAATATAATAATTAAACAGAAGCCAGTCTTGCAGTTCAAACAGAAAATTTTTAATCAGTGCATGAGCTTGTCACAAATCAAGCACATATGGTATGAACTCATTGAGATGTTTCTCTGACCTCATGCCCAAATGAAAAATTTCATGTTGCTTTCAGTGAGAGTTAGAGGGGTTGTAAGCCAGCTGGAATTGTATATAATTATATATATTATATAGGTACTTATATAATATATATATAATTATATACATAACCAGAATAGAGCATATTGGACACCAACAATCACAGTCTGGAGATGGACATACATCCGCCCAAAAATGATAAGCTTTATGCACTATCCTAGAATTCCGGCCTTGTAGCAAGTGTGTCTTGCAAATCCGTTGTGTGATTTCAGAAGATAAATTGAAATTAAATGCATACAACGGATACAACTCAAGCATTTCACACAGAACCATGTTGCATATACCTGTTTTTCATGCTGAGCAGTTATGTCCTGAGAGCCGCACCCTTGCTGGGCACTGCTTGTTTGGAAGTGAAGTTCCTCCTTGCATGACACACAGGGCAAAAGAGGGGTTAGCTGGTAACCACATGCATTAATAAACAGTGGCAGCATTAAAGGGCATAAAGTTCATTTGTACACGAATAGTGAATCAAAATAAATTTGGTTTTTTCAATGCAAATAATAGCAATGTGAACAAATCTAAACAGGAAAATTATTAAATAATAAATCTGAATGATGTCACATTTGCAAAACATGCCCTGTCAAGCAACAACTAAATTAGTGACAAATATCAACCACAAATTAGTAGCATTAAGAATTCCTTTAACACTTTGACTCCGATGGCTTAATCTTGTACTTTTATTTCATTTTTGTACTGTTTTCAAACGGGTAGCCAGATGGTCATTTTTTTCCAGACAAATTCCGTGATTTAGTTTTTCTCAATTGTGTTGGCCGGCTAAAATTTATGATAGGGGTACGTCCTAATTAAATTTTAAATATGGTACTGCAAAAAAAAATAAATAAATGGAATTTTTATAGCGGTACTTACAAATAACTAGCATATATTGAGTTATCTGCCTTTTTTGTTCACGGGTTTGGTCGATTTTAGGCAACCTGAATTATGTGCCACTACATCCTGGAGAAATACATTTTGTGGTACGCATATGCACCTCTTTGGAGTCAACGTGTTAATAGAAATATTATAAATATTTTTTTGAAAGTTAGTACAATTATATGTAGCAGCTCAAATTAAGTTTGAATAAAATTTTTATAGTAAAATTTTTGTCATTTTATCAGGCAAGATTCATAATGATTTGAAACAAACAGATTGGAAATTTTACCTCATCCTTAATGAAAATTTGTTCTTCCTTTACAGTCACATCATCTTCCTTGGATGCATTCTCTTTTTTAATGTTATCAGATGACATTTCAAGAGGAGGGACAGTATCCTTACTGACAGCTGATTTGTTGGTCTTCATTGACCTGATGACTGAAAAAATTTCACATATCATGATTAGGAATGAAACTTACTATAGAGTTTAGGTAAACAATTAATCGAATTCAAATGGAAAATGGTTATCAGTATCCAGAAGCTTATCATTAATGAAATCATAAATGCCATTAATCTTGGCTTACAATTCTTGGCTCAGTCTCATCAACAAAAACAAAATATCACAGAGCACATCAAGATCACACTAGAGTCATACTCACTCAGTTACTGGTACTACTGCAGGTAGAACAAAATTTTTCTAACCTCAATAATAAGTATTCTAGCATCTGAAGACAAAAAATGATGAGGTAAATCAAGATAGACCAAACAACTGCCGACAAAGATTGAGAGAAGACGCAGAGCAGCCTGCAGGCCAGATGCTCATTAGTCATCACTTTCCATAACTTCAACCAGAATTTGAAGGGTTTATAAGTAAAAAAATTCTGACTGCAGTCTTCCACAATGTAAAATTTCTCTATCTGGCATTGAACACCATTTGTAGAACTTGTTCATTTTTTAATTTCTTAATTTACTCAAGATTTAAATCAATATCTCATGTACAATAATGCTGGCACCCATGACACTTTGCTGGTGTACTTTTAAGACTCAAAATTGGACTTGAGTCTAAGAAAAAAACTCTCTGCTTTGCCAATTGCCAACTTGCCACTACGTTGAACACTATTTCAATCTGAATAGCAATGGGGAACATAAGTGATAAAAACAAATACAGCACCAAAAGCATGACAGAGCTGATAGTCATACCTGGCAGGAACAGGGCCAAAAATATTTCATAATACTCTGCATATAATGGTATCCTAATGCAGATAAGCATAAGCAGTGTAGTTCAAAGAAAATTGTCCTTATTGCATTCATTGAAACACCACAGGAGCAAATCAACACCACTTTTAACAATAATGAATGCATAAGATTCATTTGTAAGGGTGGAATAAGATTTTTGCATTATTATGCTGAGTGCTGACTGCATAATCAGCCTAGCTTACACATTTGTTTCAACAAAATAAATCAAAGTAATTAGCCCACATGCATGGCCCAATAAAACAAGGTTAGCCCTCTGCCAAGGAACATATTGACAGCAAGTGAAATGGTATTTTATCACTGCATTCTCTTTAATAATTATCAGTGTAATTCTGCCCTAAGTTAGGTAAAAATTGATCATTGTAATTGTAACCTGAGGATTTTCCAAAATTTGCGCTGTGTGTGTGTAACGCTGTATGGTAACCTGTTCATGTAATTCTATATATATCAGCCCCAGCCCCCTAGCCTCCTTCACTTCATTTGGTAATGAGCATCTATGCAAGTTTCTTGATTTGCCAATGTACCAGTAGATTGCAAGTATTTGGCATTGGTAATCATCAGAGACGATACTATCTTTCTTCATGCAGCAAGTTTATGATTGCTGTCACGTCAAGTTCCACAAATTTACACTTTTGAACCTATATAAGGCCCATAATGGCAAAACAGATAGTTTTTAGACTCTTCCTCAAGTTTAACTTCAAGTTTGAGTCCTATAAGTAAATCAGCAAAGTATCTGGATACCAGCATTATCCTGCATAAGATTTTTGTTTAAATCTTTAATAAGAGAGAAAATTAACAATGGAAGATTTGAAAATAATCCTTGGTCTGCCACTATGCTTATAACCTTTATTAAAGGGAGCCTCAGGGTCCAAAATCAACAATTTTGGCTTTTCCGGTTTTTAGTCCCATCTTAAAGCTGACTCTCTAACCTATTCAATGGTACTAAAACCATCTCTGTACATTGATTTATGCCTTCATGGCAGATCACAGAAAGGTTAGAGGTGGTGGAGTTCTTCAACATTTAACATAGGGAATAACTGCCAGCAGTGCACTTAAATAGCCAGTCTGAACACACTCTGCTTTAGTAACCTGGCTGCAGTTGTGCAGGATGCTTCTTGTGCAGTTGTTTGCACCATTATTGACAGAAATTGGGCCACAGCATTTATTAATCTTGCATAATTAACCTTGAATGCCTATTTCGAGGCGTGTGGGACTTTGTCCCACTCTACTGAACATTTACACATATTGTCACTGGAAAACTATCTATAGACTCCTAGAGTTTTCAAGCTACAACAATGAGACATATACCATTCGATTTGCAAAGAAATAATCTACCAAGTGATGTTGGCATTCTTCTAATTTCATTATATTTTGGATTTATCCTGCAAGAAGGGTGGGTGGCAGGGGTTAAAATAAAAAAATTTCTGAAAAATGCCCTGACAAACACAAAGATGAAAATTTCAAAAAATGCCAACATAATTTTATAGATATGGTTTTTACGCATCAAATGATACCATAAAATGGGATAACTTTTACTACTTTTTTTTTCAAAATGATGCCATTTTTTTTACTAGATATGTTAAACTTAAATTGAAACATGCAAAATACAGGTCTATGCTCTAGCTTTACTCACTATAAATTGCTGGCTCCTGCCTCTCATAGTTTTGATGTAATTTCAAAAAAAGTGATGGTCTTTGTTACCCCAGCTCTTGGGGTAACTTAGACCGGGTGGTAAAATCAATTATTTTTTTTTGTAAAATAACTCCAAATAACTCCAGGTTTTGGTGCATTGTAGTAGAACTCTTCTAGTTACATACGCAAAAGACAAATTTTAGGAAAGTGTCATAGTTTGCAAATGGGGGGTGCCGCCCCCAAATGGGCGAAATGTGACCATCTAATGGCAGCCGTGACGGGGTAACATTGACCGGTTTGAAAATTAAGTTAAAATTACCATATATAAGACTCTGTAGAGTCTGAAACATAAAGAAAAAAACATTAATAGGTGTATCAAAAACAAAATATGTTATATAGGTACCTATGGTAATTTTAACTTAATTTCCAAGCCGGTCAATGTTACCCCATCACAGCTGCCATTAGGTAGTCAATAACACGTGCATGCAACCTTGTAATAAGTTCGTGGCTTGTAAATAGTTCGTCATTACTCAGCGTAAATGGCTTTTCATTAAAAATTACCCGGCGACGCATCTTTAAAATGGCCGGTGACGCTTTGGGCTTAAAAATCCATATATTGCCGACGCTGCATCCACCCTCTGCATAGTGGCTTCTTCTCAGGAGTTCTCATGTTCTCTGTTTGACAACTCTGCAATCTTAGAATAGTAGGTCTGGTACCTAGGCATTAAAATTGATAGAAAAAAATAGTGCATCAATATTGTAATTGGGCTATAATGCATGAATATTGTAATCATAGTTAATCAACGTTGTTAATTTTGTTATCATAGTGCAATTAAGGCAATTAATATTGTTATTATGGTCATATAGATGATATAGTGCAACTGTGCTAATATGTTGATGTTGTTACTATTTTAGAATTTAGAACAAGACAGAGATACATAAATCCTGATTCCCGAGAGACAAATTTCTGTATGCTTTACAGTTTCAGTTGGGTGGAACCGTGGACACTGACACTCTGACAGTGCTCTTTGTCTTTGTGATGCATAGGTATACATATTATTTGTGTTGAATGATATCGTGATTGTAACTTGTAAGTGACACACACTCACACACGTATAGGTAGTTTGAAATCACAGGTCATTTGTTTCATTATTTATTGTATTAGCTACCAAATCATTAAAAAGAAACACACATGTAGTGTAGCCTGTGTAGGCCATGTTGAATGTTCTTGTCATTAGTGAGAAAATATCAAATATCTTTATATTTGATAGAACAAACTTGTGTGTATGGAGAAATTCAATCTTGAAATAAACTTTTTGAGTTATTAATGTAACTTGGCTTCAGTAAATTTAAATTTCCATTCGAAAAGGAAAACAAAACACCTTCCTGATTTTGGTCGCCCGCCGAAGACCACCACTGCCCTGGATGTAATGGACCATCTTGATTCCTGCCTTCCGGAACGTATAGCCTTCAACACTTCAAGCCATCCGTATCTGGGCCGTGGGTCGAACCCATGGTTGAACTAGGATTGACACATCAGAAGCCCATTTTTGCGGATGCAGCTCCTTGTTTGCCTGTGACGTCAATGATCTCAATTACGTCACGGGCATTAACTAATCACCGAAATGCGATCAAACCAGTCGACCAATCAGTCACGGGAATGACGGGTTTGTTTACGTTTCTCGATCTACGTGACGTAACAAGAGAGCTGAACTGAAAGACGGAACTTCTCGTGGGTAAACCTTATATAGTTCAACCATGAGTCGAACCAGCCCTCGGCTGAACAGCCACTTGTCGCAGGACGATAAATTTTGGAACAGAACTATGCTATCTGAAACCTAACCGCAGATGCGGTGAACGTAAAATTACGTAATTTACGATGCCCGGAAGTCAGATTCGATCCGCGGCCTGGCAGGGGCGGTGGAAGACAAAGCCTACTGGTTCACGGCTGATTGGTAGATGTCCGGAGAGATCCGAGAGTTTCGATTTGACCGTGAAAGTGAGAAGACGTGCTGTGTGTTATCCCAAAGCGCAAAGTGATATCTGCACTCTGCAGATCATTCTAGATAATCTAGTCTTCTCAAAGTCAAATCTCTTTGAAAAATAATTAAAAATCCTAAAATCTTTTAGAAAAGTCATGGCATTAGGACCTTGAGGTTTAACAAGGATGGTTCGCCCACTCCCTGCACTTTGCAGAGTGGCATTGACTGGTAGTTTTACATTTGCTAGATTGGTCTCAATGGCCTGAGTCTGACTGGAAGCACTATTCAACAAATTTTGCTGTCTGTGCACCATAGTGTCAAAGCAGAGAGTTTTTTAGACTCTCTCTCAAGTTCATTTTTGAGTCCTATTAGTAGACCAGTAAAGTATCCTGGATACCAGCATTATTATACTTGAGAAATTGGGTTGAATCTTGAGACTTGAGTAAATGAGGAAATTAAAAATGAACTGATTCTAAAAAAGCTCTGGTTTGCCACTATGCTATGCACAGCTGGAGCTGGGCGCTTAGCCCTCCCACCACCAAGACTCTCAGTTGATCCGCTCTTTTCCCGATTTCTGCGTTTTTGACCAAAACTACAAGCCTCCATAGCCTGTCTCTTATACACATCTAGATGTGTATAAGAGACAGAGATTTGCCACCCTGTCAGCCACTTCATTTCCGTGGATGTTGCTATGGCCACGAACCCAGCACATCACAACTCTATCAAGCCCCTTAGTTTGCATTAACTGATGAATTTTGACAACAATTGAGCGATATGAGCCACCAGACGCAGAAGATAGAAGCTGCAATGCTGCTCTTGAATCTGTCAAGATCAACACCGGCTCACCCTGCATAGATATGTCGGTGGTGGCAAGCTGCATTGCCTTGTATATCGCAAACAATTCGGCCCCCAATACCGTGTGCACCGGATTCAGCAACCACCCAGTGGCCAAGTGGTTGGATGGCACATATAGTCCAGCAGACACCGATCCAGTGGCAGAACGAGATCCATCAGTGTAGATTTGCAGATGTTGAGGATAGCACAGTTTCCAAAAGTCTTGGAAGCAATTTTGTGCATGTTCAGGAGGCATTGAATTTACTGCAGAGCTCAGCAAGTCCACACATATACTGGAGGAAAGTTCAACATGAGGTGGAAATGTTGACATCAA